CAGGGTGGGGGGGCGGGACCCTGAAGGGCAGACCCCCGCCTTCCCTCCCTTGCGGAGACAGGCGGCGATGTCCTGCTAACTTGGGGGGCTCCAGGCTGGCCACCCCAGGCTCTTCGCCAGGGATGACCCCGGGGCTGGCTGACGCGGAGGGACCCTCTTCTCAGTGTGCCCCCTCGCTTTTTCCTCTGATAGCTCAAAGCTTGAGGGTGGGAAGGAGCCGTGCTGTATAGGAGTGGGGCTTCCAGGGGCAGGGGAATTCTCTAGAACAGCCATGGGTGGCCGGTTTCAAGCTTCCCTCATCCCAGGTCTGTCCATTCGTGTGCCCTTTCTCCTCAGAATCGCGGGTCTCCATCCTTTCCGGGGCATCAGGGTTTGCTCCTTGGTCATCCCCCACCCCCCACCTCCTCGAGTGCCCTCCCCTGCTCCTAGGCGGGATGGCCCTTCCAGCCCCCTCTCCCTCCATCCGCCTGCAGAAGCTTCGGCCTCAGAGGCAATGGGCAGGTGCGTGGGTGAGTGGACAGCGGCCTGCGGGGTCATTCTGTGAGGCAGGGGTTAAGAGCAGGGGGCTTTGGAGCCACTTGGTTTGGGATCAGATCCTGGCTCTGCCACTTACGAACTTGGGCAAGTTCCTGTATGCCTCTGTGCCTCGGTTTCTTCATCTGTTAAATGGGGATGAAATTAATAGTAGCTACCTCGTAGGGTTGGTGGGAGAGTTCACAAAAAGCACTCAGAAGAGTACCAGCTAGTAGAAAGCACCGTCCAAATGCTATTATTATTCCTCCTGCGGCTGCTCCGTTTAGCCTGGGAAATGTTCCATTTAGCTTGAGAAACATATCTGGCCTCTGACCCACAGAGGAGAGGCAGGGCTTTGTAGAACAGCTCGGAGCACTCCGTTCCCTTTCCCCTCTCCCAGCTGGAGGGTCTAGGAGGCAGCACCCGGCCAGGCCCATCCTCCGGGAAGTCAGAGGCATGCCTGCCAGCTGGAGGCCATTCCGGCAGCTCCCCTGGGAACCTGGAAGCCAAGGCAGCCCCTCCTTGCCCTTCTTGTCCCAGACTCCTCCCAGCCTGGGTCTCCCAGCCCAAGGCCCAGCAGGGTCCCAGCCCCATCTCAGCAGTCTCCGAAGAGGAAAAGTGATTGGACTGAGACCTCGATTCAGAGAACTGCCAGGGGCTTGTTCCTCCTGGCAGACGCAGCGAGCCCAGCTGAGAGGCAGGGACGGATCAGGGAAGCCCGTTGGCTCCCGGTGGCTAGGACTACTGCAGTCTGCACCTCTGCTGGGGACCATCTATCCCCGCCTGGTCCGGGGGAAGATGCTTTATTAACCCTGCCATCCAGGGGCATGTCCGGCTCCCGAGGAGAAAGTCCTGGGCTCTTCCCTTCTCCCCTCTGCCCTGGGGCCTCCTGAATCCTCTCTAGCAGTGACTTCCCGTGGCTCTGGGAGGGAAGACACAACCAGCGAGGAGGACCCCGTGGTCTCCCTCCCTGGGATACTTCCGGAGCAAACTGCACACTGGTAGGGGAGGCCTGAAACGGGGGAGGCCTGAAACCAGGGAGGCCTGAAACCGGCATCCAGCATGGGAAAGGTGAAAGGAGGTGGGACTGGCAGGGCTGGCTCTCTCTCCAGCCCGCCCCAGAGAGCAGGGAACTTTCCCAAGCCTTGCTGCCAGCTGTAGCCTCAAGGGCCTTGTTAAGTTAAGGGTATAAAAACAATCCCAGGCTCCCAAGGAGAGAGGGCAGGTGAGGGGGTGCGTGGAGCCTGGGGGCATACAGTCATTCCACAGCAAGTATTTATTTATTTTTGAGTGGGAGTCTCACTCTGTCGCCCAGGCTGGAGTGCAGTGGCAGACTCACAGCCACCGCAGCCTCGACCTGCTGGGCTCA